ATGGCCCGAGTGAAAACAGTTTTCACTGGAGTGGCAGGGGGAAAACCAAATTATGTGTATTTAGAAAAAAGTGGAAAGTGAGAAAGTGGGGACAGAAAACAAAGTGGAGTGGTTTTGTTGTTTTTCCTTTTTTACTCTTGATTAATGGGACAGGCTTACACCTGTTCACAAGATGAAAGACAGGAATCAATGAACAGAAGAAAGTGAAGACAAAGGAAAGAGAAGATAAAATCATTTCAGAGGGATGTAGAGGGATTCCTCTCCCATTAAAACAAAGGAGAGTTATTGCCAATTCAGTCAGTCACTTGGTTACTCGTGTTGACATGCACAATGGAATTAAAAGCTGCCTGATCCTGTACCACTCCCAAGATAAGCTGCTGATGGACTGCTACATACATAAGGTTTCCAGTAGTTAACTTCTGAAAGTCGATCACCAGGCCTTTCTTCCTAGTCCAACTTAGTCTAGTAACTCCATTAAAACCTGCTTAGCATCATAGCAACAGGCAAGCCTCCACTGACAGACGGGTGGTGGCTCACAAGGCACATGGAAGATGAGAATTCTACCAATGAACCACCAATGCCTCATCAAAACAGAAAAGTAGTTAAAAATTGGTTTGCAAGGATAAAGGAAAAAAGAGTAAGAGCTGAAGAAGTTTACTCCTATTGCGTAAAACAGGAAGTCAGTGAGTTTGAGGTCTGAACTGCATAAAGAAGAAATGGCGGTACAGCTGAGGCTGCAAACTAGAAATCTATGACATGAATCTGTGCATTGCTATATGACTCTGCTCATCAATACTGAGTAGTCCGGATATAGGTACAAGGAAGGTAGGCTGGATAAGAGAGAGTAGAACTAACACATAATAGTTAGAAAAGGTAGGAGGCTAGGAACTACAATCCAAGAGAAGTTAGAATAGCTAGCTATAAGCAAAAAGAAATGAGAGCTGGTAGGAGCAGCTTTGGATTTTTTTTTTTGTTTTTCTAAAAGTTGCTCTTGAATGGAGAGTAGCTAAAGCAAATGGAAGAAAGGATGCAGTAAAAGAACTGAAGATTTCAAAGAGCAACTCAAGCATGTAAAGTATTATAATGAAATGTACAAAGACCTAGGGTTAGAAAACCAAAAGGGAAAAACACACTCAGGATTTCTCAAGTTGAAAGAATTGAATAAAAAATTCAAGTTTTGAGTTGCAATACTGAAGGATTCTATCGGCAAAATATTAAACAATGCAGAAAGCATCAAAATAAGAAGGAAGGAATATAAAGAGTCACTGTATCAAACAGAACAGGTCAATGTTCAGC